AATAAAATAAAATTTATTTTTAAAAAAGTACAGAAGGGGCTGGGGATTTGGCTCAGTGGTTTTGCCACCTGCTGCGCAAGCACAAGGACCTAAGTTCGATCCCCAGTACCAAAATAAATAAATAAACAAATAAAATAAAAAAGTACAGAATCAGGAATAGAGAAGATACTGGGAAAGGCAAAACAGTATTTAGTAGTTGTCAGGTCTTCACTGAATGACTTGATGATGTAGAGGAAATTGGCTGGTGTATAGCAGAGGAAAAGTGTGCCAGGCAGGGTATACAACAGGTGTGCTGATAGAGTGCAGCCAGGCAGCCAGTGTGGCTGGAGCCGAGGAACACACAATAGTGTGCTAGAAGCTGAAGCCACACAGGTCGTGGTCAGGGGTTGTGCAGACTACATAGGATTTTCTCCGTTAGGGAAGCTTTTGAGTAGAGAAAAGATACAATACAACTTGCCTTATCTTTCTTCCTCTTCTTCATTTTAAGTAGTTTGATTTACCCAAAATAGTTGTGATTTTCTTTGTCTTTAAACTATTGGGGACGTCCACTGGGTTTCTTAAATTTGTGGGTTGGTATTTTCATCAGCTTTGAAAATTTCTTGTCTGCTATTACCTTTTCAAATAACACTTCTGCTTCTGTCTGCCCGCCCCCCTCCCCAGCTCTTCCTGGGCCTCCAAGTGCACATAAATTAAACGTTTTTCCCCATGGCATCCCATGGGGGATATATATTTTTTAGCTCTGTCTTTTTAAATTGCTTTATATTTCTATGCATTCACTTGGGTATTTTCTATTGACCTATTTTATTTACTTATCTCCTGTATACATTTCTCTGTTAAAACTATCAGTGAGTTTGTAAAGTCATAGATTATATTTTCCAATTTCAGACTGTCCATTTAATGTCTTGGAAAGATCCCAGCTCTCAATTAACAGCCACTATCTTTTCAAATATTCTACCCATGTTTTCCTCTAATATATTCCTTATAGTTGTTTTAAAAGAAGAAATAACAGCTCTCCCAGTAAATCTTATTGACAGTCTGGCTTAAAAGTCATAACTAGTGTTGACCTAAAATCTATGCTGAAGTCCTTGAAGGAAATATAGCACAGGTATTGTGAGGGTCTATGCATATGAGTAGTGTACTTAACTCTCTGGCTGATTTTTGAAATATATTTCTTGAACACATTTTACCTACTTTATATCAGAACTAAATATTTTGCCCTGCTTAATCCTGCCAAGCATTTTTGACCCTTTAAGCCATCAAATAAAATATTTTGGTGAAGACTATTTCTGGTAGCCCACAAACATAGAATTTCCAAAAAGAATTCCCAGAGAAAGTAACATTCAGTCCTCTTCTTTATAAGGAAACCAAACCAGAGAAAGGTAAGCAGCTGGCCCAGCTCTGTACGGTGACATTGGACAGGAGCCCCAGCCTGTCCCTCCCGCACCTGTCCCCCCTCCACTGGCTAATTGGAGGTGACTGGTCCTGCACTACTCACTCCCAGTTCTGTGCATTTCTTTTTTTTTTCCATTTAGTTTATTGGTACATTTTAGGTATACAATACATTCATCATTGGGATCTTGTACCTTTACATGATGTATCTTGGTTCTTATATTTTTCCCCATTCTC